TTTGTGGGTTCTTTGCGACTTTTATTTGAAAAAGTTTTTTTATAAAGGTATCCATCAAGTTATTAAAAAAGGATAGCTACGTTATTTTTACAATTTTTTAAATTAATTTTATAAATGTTTCAAGTCTCTTTTAGAACAATCTTCAGTGTACAAGAATAAACATGTACATAGTGTTATTCTATTTATAAAATAGTATATATATTGATTTTGAAAATACTAAATTTTCCTTAGTTTATAACTTTAGCCGAACTGTAAGGATTTTAAGAAACATCAAAACTTTTTTATCTAAAAAGTTACTAGAATTCTGTGGAATATACCGGCGATCTGTATTTTAAATTTTTTTTATTATTGATTTTATAAATTTGAATGTTACACAGAGGCATGTATAATATATCAATATTATAAATATTATATGCGTCTGATATAATCTTATAATTTTAACAGTTTTCTTTTGCACGATAACTCGAATATTACGACTTGCACATATTTTTTATGATAGTCGTTTTAGTTTCGTATTTATTTAAGATAAAATATATTCAATATTTCTGTTAATTTTTTGCATTTATTTGCATTCTTTGCCAATTTCATTGTTGTTATTATTAAAATATTATATATAAAGAATTTGAATTTTATCATTGTTTTTTTACGATATCTATACCAACTGTAATGAAGCTAATAAATTCTAGGGATAAATTATTGTGAAATCAGAATACAATAATTATTTGTTTGGTTTCTTACAATTTTCTGCTATTTTAAATATAATTTTGCTATGTATAATATGGTTAAATTAAAAAAAGTTTCGATTTTAATTTAATAAGATAGTATATTTCTTGGCCTTCTACAAATATTGGAAAACATTATTCCGACTTGTTAACTTGCCGTGTGGCAAATAATTGATATCGCAAAAAATCGAACATGAAACTTTTGCATATTTTTACGTTTCAGAAGTTTATGTACATTTTAGCTCACCTTTGAAAAAAGTTGATATGTGTTGTATGTGTGTATGTTCGAATACAATCTTTCGTCCGCGATATCAGGAGCACGAATCAACCGATTTGAATGATTTTTATATTAGATCGATAAAATAAGTAGAGGAAATTAACAGTATTAATACGAATTATTTTAAAACAATTGTTATTACTCATTCATGTGTTTTCATTGATGATTGGTTATTTTTATTTCACGAATATTTAATTACTGTACGGAAAGTTCCAGCAATTTGCCTTAAGGTTTTTTTCTTCGTCACTAGTTTCTTTTTACTTTACTGTTTACTTGATTCTATAGAAACCATCAATGAAAAGCTTTTCTTATTTTTAGACTTATTTCAATATATTATTTTTATGCCGATGTGCCAGTTTGGTTTTAGTGCCTGTTTTTTTCTATAACTTTGATCGATGATAATGAGGTATCGAAAATTTTACTTACTTACTTTTTGCTACGCTTTATATGTTTTTTGGGTAAAAAACCGATGTAATATATCATTACGAGCATATTTTGACAGCAGAAAAGCAAGCTGTTGTATTTTTTGGACATGCTTCAACATGATACGTGTTTCTGTTAAATTATTTTTTGTATTGTCTCGTATTTTTACTTATTTTAAGTTTAGAAATATTGGGTGAATTAAATATTATAAGTTAATTAAATAAATTGGTACATAAGTAAATGTAACGTTACTTTGAAGGCTCAATGTATATATTGATAGAATATTTTTTACTAACTCATAATTTTGTGATTAAACTGCAACAAAATTTATTTCATTAATTTTGTTTATAGTACAAAACTTATATGCTATAATTTTGTACATGATACGTAAAAGCTCTTTCGCCTTTTTAGCAATTGTTTTTATCCCAAATTTTTTGCTGGTATAATAAATTTTGACTACAAAAATGATATTATATTTTTTTTTATGTTGTGTATTCACATTTTTTCTTAATTGGCACATAAAAAAATGTAACGTTACTTTGAGGACTCAATGTATATATTGATAGAATATTTTTTACTAACTGCAGCAAAATTTATTTCATTAATTTTATTTATAGTACAAAACTTATATACTATAATACGTAAAAGCTCTTTCGCCTTTTTAGCAATTGTTTTTATCCCACATTTTTTGCTGGTATAATAAATTTTGACTACAAAAATGATCTTATAATTTTTTTTTAATGTTGTGTTTTCACATTTTTTCTCAATTATTTTTCATAAATCCATTATCGTATTCTGTGAGTGTATGTTTTTCTAAAATGCTGAAACCTATTCGATCGTATTTTGTATTTTTCGTATGCAATTTTTCTTTATCTTTTTGATAATATGCAACTAGATGTTTCTAGATGAAGTAATGAAACTAGATTATTATGAATTTCGTAAAAATGCGTATATATTATATTTTGTTAATTACATTTCCATCGATTTTATTCTTCTGATTAAAAAATTGTTGTGAAATGAAATCATTATGAATGGAATTAAATAATTATGCACAATTAAAATACTAATTATGTAATGCATGTAATTTATAAATATCACATAATTCTGGATCGCATTGAATATATAGATGGCATGATATTACATGTTCACTCCATATTATTCAATTCTTTTATTTATAAAAGATGAACGTGGTAAAACTTTTTAATAAAATATAAGGTTTATAATACTGATTTTGAATGTTTGTCAATTTTACTCAAGATTATTGTATATTTTTCAACACTTGATATTTATTATGACGGTGAATTTTTTGACTGATTAAACGAGGCAATTTTGTGGTTTTGTCTTAAACATTAAATGTCCACTTAAAAAACTTACTAAAACAGCTTTTACAATACTACTTTAGCAATCTCTCCGTTTTCTTACACTTGTACTCATGTGTGATATTTTTTGGATATCAAGTGATTAAATAAAAAATTTGATTTATAATCATGTGTGATGTTATTGGATATCAAGTAGATATAAAAAATTTGATTTATTTTTATAAATCCGATGATTTTGCAATTTTTTTGATTTGATAAAATTTTTGCGGTTTATGAATTTATGTATTTGGCTTGATATTCATAATAATTTTTATGCTTTGATAGCATTATTGGAGACTGGGTACGATTGTGCCAGGGTACGGTGACAGTCGTCAGAACAGCTGAACATTACTGTATTTGAGATAGAGCCCGAAGGGATAAATATGAAGTATATTTGTTCGAATAAGTTTCCATTACTGAATTATCAGTGCCCTATATTAACATGAGCTGTTGACTGCATTGCTTTTAAAGAGTAAAAACGTTTTTTTGTTTGATTTATTTTATTAATAACTGCTTTTTATACAGATAGATTAGATACTTTGTTTTTTATTTTTCTGTACGTTAGTGGTTTGTTACCAGCAAGTAGCTTTTTGCGGAAGTAATTTATTTCAGTGATACCGACGAGAGGAATTTATTTCAGTACGAAAGGAAAATTCAATGTAAAAAAGGATTTCAAATAGATTTTTTTGTTAACTTTGTTTGAAAAATATGTTTTGTTATATAGTATTATATTATGTGTTAAATATTCTTGACAATAAAAATTGTTATAAATATAAAAATGTTTATTCACATTGTTTTTCAACCTATTTCTATTAGGGTTTATACAAAAACCGACATTTTCGAAAACCGGTTTTCGAATTTTAATTTTACTAAAAAACCGGTTTTAACCGGTTTTCGAATTTTATATAGAAAATAAATTTTTGCTCGAATATTGTGTAATTTATCTGAATATTTAATGTAATTTAGAACCGTATTTGACTGAATTTATTTATTGTTCAATTTCATAGATAGTAATAAATTTTTTTTTATTTTAATTAGTAGAACTAAAAAATAATAGTTTATCTTGAATAAATATAACTTTGAAAATAATTATTCGTTATTCATGCATCATTTTCACATATAAGAATAAAAGAAAAGTTTTTGAATAATACATTTTTAAATAAAAAACATTCATTAAATTAAAAAAATAAATATATATTAGATACATGTTGATACATACTGTGATACATACGTTTTAAATATTCTCATACTTGCGACCAAATTATGCTTAAATGTTTTTAAAGCCTGATATTATAACTCTAAGTTTTTTGTTGTTCAATTTGTGGTTTTAAGGGTTTAAAACTCTTTTTTTTTAAGTTTGAGTAAAGGAAATTACTTCTCCAAGAAGTGGTCACTCTGATTTAAATTAATATATATACTGGTATAAAAATCTAAATTAATATATACAAAAACTTTCTGGGAATCATTGCAGACTGATAAGACATTAAATGCTATTGGACCGATATGATTTCAAGAATCAAAACGCTTTCATCTATCTTTTATATTTGTCATTTTCTAATTATACAGCAAAAACTGACTTTTTTCACTAAGAAACCGGTTTTCGAATTCCATAATTTTCGCCAAAAAACCGGTTTTTGAAAACAGACAAACCCTAATTTCTATAGCCTCCAGATACGGTTGTGACACTCGCCCTTTACTCGTATGATTTGATATTATGATTAATCTTTCGTATTTAAGAACAGAATTTTTCTATATCCACGTAGACAAATTACAATTTAATTTACATTTCTCCTAGCTAGTTGCTAATATAACAAAATTATTGCTGATTCAGAAAAGAGTGGCACAACCGTACCCAGTGATACTAGGTTACAATTTCAATTTTTAATGAAATCATGCTAAAAATATTTATTTTTTTCTACAGATTGAATTCCCAATTGTCGGGTGGTGTTGGACAAGGCATTCCCGGCCAGAATAGCAGTACGCTGTCGTCCAGCCAGCACTGTCCTTCGCTGGTGCCGGTGTTCCCGCTAAGGGCAGCGCACACAGGCGCCCATGGTGCGCACTACTCCCCATACTCGCCGTCCAGGTTTCACATCGACAAACGATGTCGGCACCGCTGCTCATGGAAATGTTTCAGCATTGTTTTGATATTACTCAGTGTGGCACTTACTGCAATGCTGGCTTATTTTGCAGGTAATTAAATAAACTTAACGACACATAATTGAAAAAGAATTTTTTTTAAATCATTTGTCGTATTTGCTGTAACAGCATATTGCTGCTTTGAACCTTTTAACTTCCCTTAGGGTAAGTTATAGTAATCGCAAAAAAATGAAAACGAAAATTTTTATATATATTTACGTTTCAGAGATTTCTGAATATTTTGGCATACCTTAGAAAAAAATGATGTATGTGTGTGTGTGTATGTGTGTTCGGATACAAATTTTCGTCGACGATTTCGGGATCACGGATGAAGCAATTTGAATAATTCAAAAAACATTCGATTCGTATCGATAAGGAGACGTGCTGATTAGTTTTTGGCGAAGGCAGGTCTAGCCGTTCCGAAAATACGGGGCAAAAAGTGCCGAAAACGGTAACTCAGTTTTTAAGAGAACGGAGCGTCCGATTTGAATAATTCAAAAAACATTTCACTTGTATTGACAAGATGAAGAATTGATAAAATTTTCATGAAGGTAGGTCTAGCGGTTTCGGAGATATGGAGAAAAAAGTAAAAAAAATGAGCCATTTGGCGGTCAAAAATGATCATTAGACATATGCACATCAAATTATCAGATATTTTATAGAGATTTTAATAATAAGTATACATTTTGTTAACATTCCTATGGGTTCCATACCAATGCTTATGCGTTAGACAGCGACGCGGGGCTTACACGCTTTATATTTTGTTTCTATGCAGTTAAAGCAGTACGATTGCTTTGAAAAGAAAATTCAGATCTTCCACATCTTTGAAAAAAAATTATTATTATTTTTTTTTTTTTCAAAAAAAAGTAATTTTTTGTCCAATTTATAGTCTCTCAAAAATCTTATTTTTTCAATTTTTTTTCAAAAATGTTAATCGTTTTTAAAAAAATAATAATTTTTGGTACGGGAAGTACCAGCAATTTGCCTTAAGGCACGATGCCTTAATTGCCTTAAGACAGAATTCCACTTACAGCTAGTTTAATAATTATTTTTTTATTTGGATTTTACTTTTTTATATTCATTTTTTATCACTCACTCATTGTAATGCAGGCAATTGCGATTAAATTCAATCAAATTTAAATAAAAAAATTAAAAATTACTTTAAATTGATTCGAAGTATTTATTGCAACAGTATTTTAGCCATCAAGTACTCATTTGTAAACGATTATACACATTTGTCATTTGTGAACTGAACTACTTATTATATGTATGTTTCACATGCCAGTTTAAATACTGCGGACAATTAATTTTTAACTTATATTGTTCAATTTTTATTATTGTAAATGAAGTTTCTTAGTTGTGTCAAAAAAAGAACATGCCATAAAAATATATTTCCCAGAAATAAAAGACCACCTCATAACAATCCAAGAGTTTTTGTGCAATTCTAAACATTTAAATTTTATAATTACCAATTAATATATGTCACTTAGACTTAACTTTTTTGTATGTTAAACAAAACTTGTCTTATAATTATAATATATTACTGATTCTAACTCTTTGATTTTCTATCATTTTATTGAGATTACACTAAGTTATGTTTTATTTCGTACTTCTGGCATTTTCAATACTAAACACTCTCTAAATTGATGTTGATATTATTACTACGTTACTGTATTAGCATGTTACTAATTTAAATAAAAAAGATTGTTTTCTGAATATCCCAAGCTTTTATGCGATTGATTCACAGTATTTTAATGATTTAGTTACAATTTTGGCATACCTTATTTTTAGTATAATTTTAATAATTAGTGTTGAGTTAATACGATTTTTTTGAATTACAAATGCAGTTGCATATTTTTTACATTATATGAATATGGATTTTGGATCTAAACTTATGTATTTCTTTATGAAAATCTTTATAAAAAGCTCGGTTTTATTACACTATATAAAATTAGTATGTCAATAAAATAATGACTTTAAAACATTCCTGTTGACACGTCCTGATTAGTTTTGGTAAAAATGGTTGTTGGAGATTAGTTCAATTTGATTGATTCGATAAACATTTTACTTGTGTTGACGGTGTGAAGCAATTATGGGTTTCAGAGTATAGACATAGGGATTTCAGAAATACAGAGAAAAAATGCATTTTTTTATGGTCAAAAATGATCATTGTACCATATGCGCAATTATAATATATTTTATAAAGATGTTAATAATATGAGGTATTGAAAGCTCACATATTATATACATCAAATAAGCGATTTTAAACGTTTTATCTCCTTTTTTCAAACGTAATTATTTTTATTGAACTCTTTCTTAACATGAGATTCAGGGGCGTAACGTGCATTGGCGGGGCCCCGTATCAAATTTTTTTTGGGGCCCCCCTCAGGTAGGGCAGAATTTTCTCACAAAAAATTATAAAACTAAAAGAAATTTTCATTTATCATAAATATTTATCTATTCCTTCCGCAAGATTTCTACAAACAATTCAAATTTAATATACACATTTATTAAATCATTTATAGACTTTTTCTAAAGTTTCTGCTTATATGAACAATGATGGACTGACAGCTGTTCCTTTATCATTGAGGTATTTAACTACCCGAAAAAAAAGTTTGCCAGAGAATGTTTTTGCTAGAAAATATTTGATTTTTCAATGATAGGCCGAGCCGTTTCCTTCAAATTGGGAGAAGAGTACTAAAATTATCGTCCTCATTTCAAAATCCAAAATTGTTCGGATATATCGACCGGACCGCATTTACATAATTAGTCGTTGAAAAAAAAATGATTTTGATAAAACTTTCCATGATAATAACCATCATAATTACTAAATGTTTTGAGCCTGCGAATTTGGAATAAATCTGAATATTTATAGATTAGGTTGATATTATTTACACTAATCGGGAAATACTAGCAAAGTTCCATAGATTACCAATAATTCGCTAATTTTTTAGCAGTTTTATTTTTGAAAATCTTCTTTAGCGTTTGCGGTGGCAATTGGTCACAAATAAGAGCATGCTGTTAATTCCTCGGGAAAATTGTATTCAAGACTATTGAATTTTGTCAGCAATATAAATAAATACTGAATTTCATATTTTCAACATATTTTAAGAGCTTAGTTTACAATTTGTTATAAAAAGTAACAAATATGATTTTACTATATTCAGACGAAAGTTTCGTCGATACAGGTGTTTTGCTAAATGGCTCCAGTTCTAATATTTCGAACATACTAATCGAGTCAAAGTCTCTGAAATCTTTGTTTAGTTTGAGAAACTAATATGTTTGATTAGCTATAGTACATGTTGAGTTTGAAATAAGATTACGAGACATTTACTTTATCTTTTGTTTTACTTTATCTTTTGTTTTTAAAAACAGTCTTTACACTTCTTTGCTAATTTAAACAAACTACTAAACTAATTTTGATTCTTTAATTCCCACAATCTGTTCAAGAAATGCTAGTTTTCTATTAGTCATTATTTGCATGTTATAGAGCTTTAAAAATATTAAAGATATGTGGAAAGCAATTAGTGGCACAACCTTTTAAAATTATATTTTTACATTCGATACACTGGAAGAAAGTTTTCATAACGTGTGTTATTACTGAAATAAAACAAAAATTCGTTGGATTTTACTAATTTTTACGGACAAAATAAAACTCTTTGAAATAATTATCTTACATTCCTTGCGTACTTTTTCAACGACCTTAAATTTCATTGAACACAGTTTTCATGATTAATTCGCTTTTGTGATTTTTTTTATTATTAATGTTTGCTTATCGACGTTGGGGGCCCCTCTGGCTCGGGGGACCCGTATTTTTGATACGGCTGATACCGCGCTAGTTACGCTCCTGATGAGATTCCTATTATCTTGATAATAAAATGATTTTTTTTTTACAAAATTTACAAACAATATTTTCAAAGATCAAAATTTTCAAAAAATCAATTATTTGTATTTGTCAGGAATTCTCAAAATATTTTTGAAAAACATAACTCATAATCTAAATAAGGCATTTATTTTGACCCTGGAAAATTCCGTTTGTTTGTTCATTTATTGCATCAGCCTTGTTATCAAAAAGTTATAACACGTCTAATTGATTTGGATTAAATTCAATTTTTGTTCCACATTTTTAATGTGTTGATAAATTAAGAATAAAGTTATCATTTTTATGGGTCGTTTGATTAAGTTATTTCATCAAGATTATTATCATCTACATCAAACAAAATCAATATTATTTATTTATAATAGTGTTTTTCTTATTTCTCATTTTTTTCTGAATTATGGATGCCAGAATTTACCCTATCTCGCTCTCTTTCTCTTTTTCCTCATCAAGATATCCTCATCCTCTGAGCACTTTTCTGTACTACCTCCAGATTCGTTTTTTGCAAAAAAAATTATATTTGCGATTACTTCCTTTAGAAAAAATGATATTTATATATTTTACATATGAAACGTTATCTTTATTAACATTTAATGCTTATTTTATTAAAAGATCTGTGTTTAAGATATATGAATCATATTGTTCGGAAAATAAATATCAAATTACTTATCTTTTGCACTATTTTCATCATATTTGAGATATTGTACGGCGATTTTACTAATTTAGATTAAAGTTTGATTTTCATAGGATTTACTATAATTCTTATTTTATTAGGGTTTTGCTCTTATAGCGAATGTTTTTTAAAGTACCGTGTTATGAGGAGGACAGTCTCAATTCCTAAACCGTGTTAGAGCGAATCCGTGTTATAGAAGTACCGTGTTATGCGGGCGTTACCTGTATGTGATATATGGTATTGTATTATAATCTTACCTGATTTCATTTTTTTTTATTTATTCTTTTCGTAGTAGTCATGATCATGATGCTGTTTTATTTGTCTTTTCTTTTAAATGTACGGATTTCGTATTGTTATACCTTTATATATATTATGATTATTATTATTATCGATTGGTGCTTAATACATTTTTAAATTTACTTATGGTTGCAATGTGTTACTTTCAGTGTTATGCGATGTGTTTTTATCACTTCATTTATTACTTAATTTGATTTGATCTATAAAGTAATATATTATACGATACCATATAATATATAGGGTCTACCCGACTTAAAGAAAGGTCCGTGATTAAAAAGTGGGTAACACCGATATCTCAAAATACAAGTAAAGAATTTTGAACATTAGTATTTGAAAGTAGAGGAAAAATTTAGTATAACCAGTCATCACCTTGTTTTTTACGACGTTTCTTTCAAGAAATAAAACGTCAATGTTTGAAGATCCATAGTATTTTATTTCGTTGTTAGTTTTTTATTAGTGAGCACTGTTATTTAGTTTACGAGATCTTAATGAAATTTTTAAGTATACGTTTTCTAATTGTTTTGTAAAATGTATTGCTAATTTTGAGTTAGATTCAAAAGTCTGTTTTATATAAAAACTTTCACGCAGGTGGGATAAAAAGGACCAACTGAACCTTTTCTCTAAAAAGGTGCAAACAATAAAAATAGTAAATAAAGTAGCAAATTAAGTTGAAAAAGAGATAAGTTAAATAAATGGTTATTCTAACTCCGCTGATGAACATTTCTAACAAAATACAAGATAAAGGTTATATCTAGTGTTGTCTCTGTAGAAACTGTAACCATAAAATTTATATTTTGCATTAGCTGTATAATATAGCTATTATTTCGCAAAATCCTTTCAAATTGAAAATAAAACATTTTACCTGTTTGTCTCCTGGCCGAACTATATCACCCTGCTTATGGGCTAAAATGGTCCAGGTAACAATGTTTTGAACTACAATTCCTACAATGATAAATTAGGTGGTAGTTTTCGGACCATAGTCTGATAGTTGTTTGTTTGAGATGTGCTATATGTTGTTATATCATGGGTTTTGCTTTTACAATAAAATTATTCAAAATTATTTTATATCTTGTTGCCTTTCTCTACCCTGTATTAATAGGGAAATATTTTACTCTACATGATTATGTGATCAAATTAATATTTATTGTATTTTTATATATATAGAATGATATATTTTATATCTATTTAATAACTATATATTTTTTGAATTGATTATTTGTAAATAATACTATAAGGCCTAGTAATTTGAATATGTTTTGTAATCCTATTAATCTATTGAATCATTTTTCTACAGCTGTGAGTTCCATGAAGCCCTCTATCGATCCATCCAACTGCATACTAGTACAAGACGTAAAATCGGTCACACATGACCAGATGACACAAGATTCGGCATCTACACAAATTCCCACGGAAGGTAAATTATATAATCACAAACTATGACGAAGAGTTAGACTTAATGATTGCATCCGATTAGAGTGATTCAAAATGCATATTGCTTGTGTCGATGGTGTGTTTGTTTCTATAGATTAAGATAGTCGTTCTTATAGATTAAGATAGTAACGTATTCAATAAAGCCTTCGCAAAAAATATAAGCGCTTGTAGCGCTCCTATAAAAAATTTTGTTGCTCGCCCAAAATATTTTCAACAATTTTATTTCAAAAAACTCAACTGATATCATCAGACTATAAATTAATAATTACTAATAATTATTTTTTCGTTTATTTGTTTAAGTTATTTCAAAATTTTTGTTTTTTGTCGAAAATAGTATTTTGAACAGTGTCATACCTGCTCTCCACTGTAACAGCCAGGCGCCCCACAGAGGTGGCCCGTGCCACAGTTTGGAAAATGCAGACTTATAGTATAATAGATTTTCTTAAAATATTTACAATGATTGTTATTACTTATCGATAAACTTTTATTTATTATTAATTATTTTTATTTTGTGAATATTTAATTACTGTACCGGAAGTTTCAGCAATTTGCCTTATGGCACAATACCATGCTCTACTAGTTTTTTTATTTGTTTTAAATTTCATAAAAATTATTATTTGTCACGTTTATGAAATTTGATGGTTGGCAAAACACTTCAAGACGTGTCTGAATTTGTATATTTTAGACCATACTTTTTACAGAATCGTTCTGCATTACCTTCTGGATTTTTTTGTCATTTAACTTTAGAGCATAATATTCATCTTACGCGAAATATTTTTTATGCATCTTTTTCTCGTTCATGACCTTTGCTTATCATCAGTTTTTGTAAGATTGCAAACAATTACAAAGTAAATTTGTTGTAACATTATTATATCTTGAAAAATTATTTTTTATTGAACGAATATTTTCTTTAGAAAACCTATCAAAATCATTCGTCAATTATATTTATCGTTGTGGTTTTCAACAGTTTCTTGCAAAGTTTAAATATCCTTAGCAAACATTTGATTTATATGTAATAATGCCAATAGGTTCAATAATTGATATTTTTTCAATTGCATGCATTGCAATCAATTTTTAGCAGAACGTGCTGCTCAGTTTTTAACTCCAACAAACTTTTATACGTGTTTTCTACAATTTTTATTTTTGAAATTAGAGGAGGCTATTACACTTTTATTTAGAACAAGATAAATATTCGCATTAAATTTATTGTCTGCTCTGTCATTCGACCTCTGCCACTTTGCAGTCGAATTTGTCATAATTTGTTTGTAAATTAGTGATAATTTTTTGATTGTGTTGGAATTTATTTCGACTTTTTTTATTAAACCAATTTAAGTTGTTATATAATATTCATCTTAGTTGATCTACTTTACAATCTTAGTTGATCTATACTCGATTCACTAATGGATTTTTCGATTTATACAATTATCGCACCATTTCGATTTACCATTAACTACAATTAAGATTTTTATTTCTTAAGCATCCAAAAGTGATTTATTACAGGTGCCAAACTAAAATACACCTTTTTGTCACAGTGACGAATTTTATATTTGCCGTCGTTTTTTATACTTTCCTATCATTATCATTTTTTTATCAACATTCAATTCATAAATTAATTTGCAAATTTGTGGTAGTATTTTGCAATGTTTGGTTTGTAAATGAAAACTTTTTCAGTATAAATTTATTAACATCCAATAAATTTATATCATTTTGATTATTTCTTGCTTTCTGTTCATATCATTCCAGATGAATAGATTTATTATTACCTATTGTATTTTGTTATATATCAAAACTAAATTTTCAGTGAACTTTAATCGTATTTATCATTTTGAACTTGTATTGTACAAACTGCAGCAACATATCTGAAATCATTAAAAATTTTTAGTTGATACATACTGTCACTATTTTAAAGAAAGTACTCGTATGAATTTTTATGCGTTCAAAATTTAATCGTACAAAATTGTTTATACTTCAATTAAATTTATCATTTAACATTTTTGTTCTTATAATTCATTCTTTTGTTTTTCTATTTGTTTTAACTATGATCACTCTAAAATGTTTGCGCAGAGAAAATGGAAATTAAATGTTCTTTGATATTTTCCAATATGTTCTCTGAAGCGTTTGTCGGTGAGCTGATCTTTATCATACACATCTTACTAATCCTTTTACGATCTAATTTTGTTCATTTTGTATGTTTTTCATAACACACTGCAGCAACATATCTGAAAAATAATCCATTGCTATCCAATTTATATTTAAGAAAGTACTGTTTTTATCTTTGACTAAACATTGAATTAATACAGAATAAGTTAATTTTGTAATTTATTTAACTTATTCTTCTTTAGTCTTTCTGATAGATCTGAACTATGATCAGATAAAAATAAGTCTAAAGAGCAGCAAAATAGAAAAAAAAAATCATAACCATATATTTCTAATATGTTTTTCATATTAGTTTATTGAAGAACTCATTTTTGTTACACATACTTTATCAACCTTATTAACCTTATAATTTGTATTATGAAATCTGCTCCGGCATACCTGGATTGAATTATTAATTTTTCTCCATATTTTTTTCCTACTTCGGGTAAATAAATTTTTATTTGTTATGTTACATATTGCTACTATTTGAAAGAAGGAATTAACAGAATTATTTTTTTTAAGATAAATCTAATATTTTTGTAATTCTAGTACTTAAATCATTAATTTTTCTGATCGGTAAGCTATCTATATCTTTTCCATTAGTCTATTCTTTTTTGAATCGTCTATTGAAGAACTAATTTTTATCAAATGTTTCTACCTTGTTAATTTCGCAAAATGTATGCAAACATGTGGAAGATAAAGTTTATGGCCTATTTATTCTTAACCTCACTCTCTATGTCTTTTCCAGCTTGTTGAAGAACTAATTTTTATCACACATATTTTAATAATGAAAACTTAGTTTCAATTTTGATCATTTTGCACATGTTTTTCTATGAATGTTATACATTGCATATGAATGCATACATTGTAATTCATTCCATGATATTTTTTCTACCTCTGATTAATAAAACCTCTTAATACCTACTACCTCTGACTAATAATTTCTCTTTGAGTTATTACATACTATATTGTACATACTGAGTTATGATAACAAATGAGTTATTTCATACTATTTTACATATTATATTGTACATTGATACTAATTGTTAATTTTTTTATAAGATGAACTAAATATTTTTTATGCAAATCGTTTTTTAGTGTTCTGATAGATTTACCTTTGATCAGATAAAAATGTGTTCAACCAGTAAAATGGGGATTAACTTTGTGATCTTTTTTTTTTGAACTTCTTATGTGTTTTCCATTAGTTTGTTGATTGACATGTTGGTCTGTTGACATGTTTCTCAACTTTATAGTTCCATTTTGTTAATTACGTATATGTTATTCATTATAATTTGTATTGTACAATCTGTTGTAGCATAACTGAATTCCTCTAACCAATTCGTTCCACAATTTAAGCACATACTAATTTGTACTTGAAACGCTGAGAAATGCAGAAAAAAATATTTTTTTCAAATGTTCAAATTTAATATTTTTATTGAATTGTTTTTTGTACTCATGTTACTTATTCTTTAATTTTTTGTATATCTGAACTAGATCAGATAAAAATTTATGCAAAGAGCAAAATGTAAGATTAAACTTATAACCCATTTGTTTTTGAACTAGCTGTTATTGTCATTGTCTTGAAGAAGAGCCAATTTTTATCACACATATTTTATTAAGAAAGATTTAAATCTTTTGATCATTCATACATGTCTATCATTATAATTTTTATTGTAAAATCTGCAGCAGCATATCTGATTTAAAATATTCTAATTTATTTTTATTTTTTCTATTTCTGGTGAATGAATTTCTTTTTGAGTTGTTATATACTGTAATAATAATACATTGTTACTATTCTAAAGAAATATTGAGAAATGCAGAATAAATTAATTTTCTTAATTGTTACTTCTAATATTTTTAATGAACTTAATATTCTCCTGTAACTCATGCAACGTATTCTTCAGTCTTCTGGCAGATTTAACTATGATCAGATAAAAATGTTTTCAAAATGGAAAGCAAAGCTTATATTTCATTTGTTTTTGAACTAGCTGTGTCTTTTCCGTTAGTTAAACTAATTGGATAAATTAATTTTTATAAGACATGTTTTATTAATCTTTTACTTTCCATTTTGTTAATTTCGTATATATTTTTCATTACACTTTGTATTGCACCAAGCTGAAGCAAGATATCCAAATTCATAAAATTCTAATTAATTTCATATTTATTTCTACTTCTAGTGAATGAAATTTTCTTTCTGTTACATACTCGTTCTCTATTTCAAGAAAGTACTAATATGAAAGGACTTGACTATCGAAATATTGAAATACATCAAATATTTTTTAATCGTTCAATTTTTTTTTCAAGTGATAATATAAGTTGGAATTTAAAAGTTATATAAACCATTTTTATGAGCTATATATTTCTAGTTTGGAATATGCTATTGAGTGTTTAAATTACTAATAAATTGAATAAGGTTTTTGACTAAAGTTTTTACATCGAGATCATTTTCAATACACTGATGTACATTTTATTTTTTACGCGTTTTTATTTCTTATTTATTGACATATATTATTTATATCAAGCAATGGTGCCTGGTATAAGATATTATTAAATAATTATATATATATATATATATATATATATATATATATATATGTGTGTGTGTGTGTGTTAGATGCTTCACTTTATCATTCACACTGTATTTATCACATAAATTAATACTTTAATTTCGGCTAACTGAAATAAAATTACACGTTAATATAATATCTATACCAGAGGTCGGCAACGCGGCGCCCGCGGGCGCCATGGAGCCCCCGATCAACTTTAGATGCGCCCTCGGTTAATGTAAATGTATGATAACCTTAGCATAAATGAATTTCATATTTTTCAAGTATATATTGCATATTGTTGTAAGTCTAAAAATATATATAGAAAATTTTACTACTATATCATATTTAGAAGTTATAGTCAAATTAGCAGAAGAGTTTTGTTCAAGATTTCGCAGCACTAGAACCCGTTCTAGCATTTTTTATAAACCCATTCAAAGTTGCCGAAGATGATCTTCTGAAAAGTGTTTCAGTGTATTTCGAAATTAGTAATATCGAAGACGTGGAGTTAGAAATAATAAACTTACAAAATGATATTATTTTAAAAGCACATGAAGTAATGATAAAATGTTTTGGAAGTCAATGAAAATACGTATCCTATTTTAAGGAAATGTGCGCTAAAAATTTACTCATATTGTGCAACAACATACAATTGCGAGTCTTTGTTTTCAAATATGAAATATTTGAAATTAAAATACCGAGCAGAGTTAAATGACACACATTTATAAAAAACTGTTTGCGGACAGGGAACTTTAATTATATTCCCAATTATAAAAAATAGCTGAAAATACGGACACACAAGTTTCACACTAAATTATGTGTATATAATTAGGTATTAAATCATAATCTTCTTTTATCGATGTACTGAATGTTCGTAATGTATATATTATATTATATTAAGTCTTAGCAACTAAGAGAATAAAGGTATGAAAAATCTTTTTTTTTTTTCATACCGATGCGCCCTCGGTAATTTTCAGATTTAGTTTTGCGCCCTTAACAGCAATCAGGTTGCCGACCCCTGATCTATACAATAATAACAACTATTCGTCTTACGCCAAGATCAGTTCAGTGTTTCCACTTCAAAGTTCTGCAAAGTAAGATCGACTCTTTTTCTATTTACATTATATGACAAAAACAAATATGGCGACCTCATGAAGTGAGTTGCAAATAAAGGACTATTACTGTTGAGATCTACTCTGGCAGGATTATTCAAAATCGCTAACACATATCTATTTCATTCTGAATTTATAAGCCTTATATTTAGTAAGCTATTTTTTATTTCTTCAATATTTTCATCTTTAATTTCAAAAGCCTAGCCTTTTTGTTTTTATCTCACCGCCTGTTTAGCTTCCACATTATTTTCTTCGCGTTGGTTACCAATGTGGAATGCTCTAATTACTAATATATTTTTTATACAATAATAATGTTTTTGACTAATGTTTTACCTCGAGATAATTTTCAATACAAAAACTCAGTGACGTACATTTTATTTTTTACGCAGCTTATTTGTTCTAATGTCACAGCGTGTCTATTTCTTACATAAGTATAATTTTTATGCATCATATCATGTGTTGGGCCAGGTTCGCTGGTTTGATTCCCGCTACCGCCAAGCCTGACATCAGGCAACTTTGATGTCAAATTTCCACTTGAGGTCATATATCTTAAATATAGCCTCAAGTGAAAATCGCCTCTCGTGGGTATAGTTGCACATATAATAAAAATGTCAGCAAATACTTCGAGTATAGATAATTAGTCATTATACCTAGTAGACACGCCGCTGAGTGTTGCTACTATCTTCTGGTTTATATTGTAAGATAATCATTGTTAGCAATCTCTGCTTAATGTTAATGCTCATGTAAAACAGATTGCAGAATAAATTAAATAAAAAAATATTATGTGTTAATTTATTCCACAGAATCGCCGCCTACCAGTACGGCCGAACACGGTAACGGTTTGGGTCCAGGTAGTTTGCCTGGTGGCCACACCACACAGCATAGTTCCCAACAGCCTTTACACAATCAACAGCAACAACAGCAACATCAACAGCAAAGTCAACAACAGACCTTACCGCAGTCTCAGCAACAGCAGGAGCAGTGGCCGTCGCCTGTGACGGAATTGCGCGACTTCGATGTTCCATATACTGCGAACGTTCCTCCGTATCGCTTCTGGAATTCGGAGTTCCGCAATAAACAGCCGGCTTTCATTCGACTGAACTTTACGCTGCCCTGGGGTGCCAATTTTGCCGTCTACGGACGACGAAATGTCGCCCCTAGCGTCACACAATACGATTTCGCCGAATTCATCAAAGGCGGACGAGTTGATCATAGGTAAATATACAACGCTCAGTGGTTACATTGATTTTGTAGCCTTCGAGTGAAGAAAAATTGAACTAAATGGGAATTGTGCATGTTATTTTTATTCAAGGCTAATATTATTTTTATACTTTTCCATATTTTTATATAGGGGAATAGTTCATTTCTAAATGCTAATTACAATGACAAACCGATCATGCCATATTTGAAGTTGACTCCAATTACATTATTGTTTTTAAATATTATACATACTTTTAATGCTATTATAAATATATAATTTATAATTTATCATTATACATATGTGTATACACGTGGTCGACACTAATAAATGTGTGCATCACAAGTGCAAAATGATATAGATATTATAGACAAAATGACACAGATGCTTTATTTAAAAATTGGCTTGTTTTATCAACGTTTTCGCGACGGTGTAATTTTTTTTTTCATTTATACAGCAATCAGAACCTCACGTCCTATGAGCTGTTAGGCTGAAACTTCTCCTTACTTTGAATTTTTTAGATGGTAACCCAATGGTTAATCCTTCCATATTTGATGATTTTGTTATTAGAATTAATCTAATTAGGCTGACTTTTTATTGGTGCAGCAATGCCGGGCAAGGGCTATTTTCACTTGGAAACATATTGCTATCTATATTTCCAAGTGAAAATCCTTGTAACTGCTACCTGACAACAAGCTGCTCGAAGTGGGTATCGAACCCGGGACCTCTGATTCAGGTCCCGTCGCTCTTAACCGCTTACCTACGGGCGAGCCCGCGACGGTGTAATGTTAAGAAAGCCTTAATAACAATCCGTCAGATGTTGAGCGTCATTGTCACAATATTGTTTACAGTTATCAGTTCAAACGTGTTCCGCACCCTGAGAATTTTATTTTGAGGGTATTTTATCTTGTTTTTTTTGGGGACATATTGATTGATACTCGTAATTATTTGAATTAAAATCAATTAACTTATGTCAGTATTACTGGAATCACGTCAGTTGGATGGAATTTTGATTAATTATTATATTTTGTTCAATTTCGGCCAAAATGACATACTCATTACACAAGCAAGACCAAGAGAAAAAATTAAAACCTGTCAAATGTGTTTGGATTTTAACTATTACAAGACTATATAACTACTACAAGAAGCAATTACTAAAAACAGACTACAGTTAAAAAGAAGAGACTTACATTTATTGCAAAACTCTCTTTTTGCGTTCTGAGCCCTGCGAAGATTGGTTAAAATGTATGACTCATACCCTTTGTGTTCATGATTCATGTGCTAATGTCCCAAAAAGGACGAAACTATTTATTTGTGAACAGCGTTTTTGAAAATTAGCATCTCAGTATGTCCTTATATGTTATTTTGCCAGTACTATATGGACAAAATGAGTTTTGTAATATGTTTCTTTTTTCTAAATAAATATGTTATTATAGTTCCTACCTATGATAAATATGAGTAAAAACAATTGAGACTGGTATTAATATCATTAAATAAATAAATATGAAAAAAGACAACACAATGTAATTTCGTCCGTACTTCAACAGTTCAGAAAAAAACCCTTTTAACCCCGTGTCTCATTTCACTTTTTTTTAGAAGATATTTTGGAACATATCATTTAGTTCAAGGCTATCATTACTTATTTTACATTTTAATATTTTTATATGTTAATTCAGATAAATATTCGTGTATCATTTCACTTGCGATTTCTTTGAAGATTTATTTCGTTTTTTAAAAAAAATATTAATAAAATATATCGTATTTGATCGAACATCTTTTTAACAAAATACGAATGGTACATATTATTTTCTATGACGCTTTTATTATTTTCTGTGTTTTTTCATATTTTTATATAATAATTCAAAAAAATAATCCGCGCAACTTGATGTCTCATTCCATTTTGGATTATTTTCGAAGGTTATATTTTTAAGAAAACTTTATTGGATCGATTATTTATTGGACCCACACGTACATGCTATTTTATTTGATGCTTTTACTATTTCTGTGCTTTTTAATATTTTTACATAATAATTCAGAAAAAAGCCGTGCAAATTTGTGTCTCATTTCACTTCGGATTATTTTGGAAGGTATGAAACCTTAAATAAAAAATCTATTTGAACGTAGGTAATGTATTTTAGTTATTTTGAAGATAAGAATTTCAATACCTTAACATTCAGTTTTATATTTATATGAGATAATTATATTCAATGATATGAGATTTTATATTCAATCACAACCAAATATTAACGAAAATTTCATTTATTTTATTTTTTTATTATTAATACACTTAAAATAAAGCACTGCCCATATTTCGAAATGTTCATAAAGTTTATATAATCTTATATTTCGCTAATTTTTGACAATTCAAATAGTATACCTTGTATTCTTTGTCATTTAATTATAGGTCGTATATAATACCTTTGTCGCGATATCAGTCTAGCTATAAAATACTTTGAATATAAAATTTAGAATTTTAAATATGAATTTGATATCGTACTAAATGTTGTGCTAAATCTTTTCGTCATTTTTGTCAAGTAGTCGTTTATTAACAGTCATATGCTAAATTTTTTGGTGTAATGTAACAATTATATGGTAATAATGTTTTATTTAGAATAATTGTATAAAATGCATTCTCATAATTGTATTAAATTCAAATATAGACATTTTTTAAAGACCCTTTAAATTTTTTCGTAATTGATAAAGTTAGTAGGCATGTAATCATCCATTCATGAGATATAATTATGTTCACTTTTGTAAGTTGTTTTTGCATGTAATCAATTATATTGTTTTTTCTTAAATGAATGTTTTAATATTTTTTAAACCAAATGTTTTTTTTTCAAGGTTAAGGAAGCGGGATACAAATTCATCACAAAGAATCAGTATCGAAATTTTTAATGAGCATAATGATGAGCAAGAAAATCAACGCAGTGCGCGAGATGAATATCCATTCGAAGATGATGCGATGACCGAATCGCCATCGGCGAATCCAAAACCAGACACCGAACTTCCAAGAGATGATCTTCACATAATTTACAAAAGATCAATTGACTCTAGTAACATGGTTAATGTTAGTTTGCTGCAATATTTGGACACAGGCCGATGGTTTCTGGCCGTCTACAATGACGAATTATTAGCGCATACTGTCAATTTGGTCGTCACAGAGGCTCAAGGTGTGAGCACCACTTGTCCAAATGACTGTTCGGGGAGAGGTTCCTGTTATTTGGGAAAATGTGATTGCATTGATGGTTTCCAAGGAACTGATTGCTCTAAGAGTAAGCATTTGCAAAAATTTTGAAGGTCTTTTGTTAAAATATATTTTTTTGCAATAATTTTTGAACAACAATCAGAACATTTAAGTTAAACTTGTACTGTTTTGCCTTAATATAAGTCGGTTTTACAGATGACAACCCAAACAGTTGTCTCATCTCTGTGTGATGAATTATTATTATTACCATTTTTGTAATAGTGCAATGTGCCATGCAAGCCTTATTTTATTTGGAAACATCTATATTTCTTGCTATCTATATTTCCAAGTGTCTTCTAAGATATATTTTAGCCACCATTACACTAGAAGTTTTTTTTCTATAAAATTCATTTTATAATGACGAAGGTAAGGAATAATTTCAAATGCCCATACGTGTTACTTTTATTAAATTCATTGAATTTTGAACTATTCAAGTAATTTATCGTAATTTTTATTTTTCTCAAATCAAGATATATTTTGGCTACCATGACACTTGGTTAACTTTTTTTATGAAAATTTATTTTTTAATGGCAGAGTAAAGGTATAATTTCAAATGTCTACATATTACTTTTATAGAATCCATCGAATTTTGAACAATTGAAGTAATTTATCGTATTTTTCAATTATCACAAATCTACTAGATATATTTTTGTAACGATTACACTTAAAGTTAGCTGTTTCTATAAAATTTATTTTTTAATTACGGAGTAAAGGAATAATTTTAACTGTCTATATATTACTTTTAGGATTTCAGGAATTTGTCATTTAGTCATTGAATTTTGAACGATTAAAGTAATATATCGTAACTTTCAATTATCACAAATCGACTAGATATATTTTAGCCATTACCCTTGAAGTTAGCTTTTTCGATAAAATTTATTTTTAATGACGAAATAAAGAAATAATTGCAACCGTCTACATATTACTTTTAAAATTTTGGAAATTTGGCCAGTCGCTTATATATTAAATTCATTGAATTTTGAACGACTAAAGTAATATATCGTAATTTTCAATTATCACAAATCGCCTAGATATATTTTAGCCATTACAGTTGAAGTTGGCTTTATCGATAAAAATTATTTTTAATGACGAAATAAAGGAATAATTGCAACCGTCTACATATTACTTTTAAAATTTCGGAAATTTGGCCAGTCGCTTATATATTAAATTCATTGAATTTTGAACGACTAAAGTGATATATCGTAATTTTCAATTATCACAAATCGCCTAGATATATTTTAGCCATTACAGTTGAAGTTGGCTTTATCGATAAAAATTATTTTTAATGACGAAATAAAGGAATAATTACAACCGTCTACATATTACTTTTAAAATTTCGGAAATTTGGCCAGTCGGTTATATAAATTCATTGAATTTTGAATACTTAAAGTAATATATCGTAATTTATAATTATCACAAATTTACTAGATATATTTTAGCTATTACACATGAAGTTAGCTTTTTCGATAAAATTTATTTTTAATGACGAAGTAAAGGAATAATTTCAACCGTCTACATATTATTTTTAATATTTCGGAATTTTTGCCAGTCGCTTATATATTAAATTCATTGAATTTTGAACGATTGAAGTAATTTATCGTAAATTTCAATTACCACAAGTCCACTAGATATATTTTAGCCATTACACTAGAAGTTTGCCTTTTCTATAAAATTTATTTTGTTAATGATGCAGTAAAGGAATAATTTCAACTATCTCTAAATATTACATTTAATAAGATTTCGGAAATTTGGCCGTTCAGTTATATCTTAAATTCATTGAATTTTAAACAATTTAAGTAATTTATTGTAATTTCCAATTTTCACAAATCGACAACATATATTTTAGCCACTATTACACTAGAAGTTAGCCTTTTCTATAAAATTTATTTTCTAATGACAAGGTAGAGAAATAATTAATCAACAATTTACATATTACTTATAATAAGATTTCAGAAATTTGGCCGTTCGGTTATATATTAAATTCATTGAATTTTGAACGATTCAAGTAATCTTACAATATTAATGTTTACAAATCGACAATCAGTTTTAGATGCCACTTAAATTTAGAAGAGATGGCCTTTCGTATAAATTTTGTTATCTAGAATTGATCAATTATGACGACTTTGCGTTTACTACTATTCATAACCGTTATTTTGATTACAAACACGTAACTATAATTAGAAATTAGCACGCAAAAGAATATTTAGAATTATTTTTTATTATTTTTACAACATTTATAATTCTAGTATAAAAAATCTTCAGTTAGATGCATTTTTATATTTCAGTTACATAAAAGCTTTTTTTATTTTTACTCTTTGTATCTTGAACAACAATCAATAATAATAGTAAATTTTAAGCACAAAACCGTAACTATAATAATAATAATTGTCTTTCATACGCATATTCAGAAACAATTTTTTGTATACTATATCTATAATTCTATTTTTATGTATATATTTAAAATATTGTATTTTCATTTTTGATCGCCAAATGGCATTCAGTAATCAGTTAAATAAGCTTTAGCTGTATTTCTAAGCATTTAAAACAATGTCTTTTAATATTTTAATAGTATATTAATTATAATATACTTTTTCTATTTTGAACAATTAATACTTATTTTTATCACAAATTCATTTTATTTTTTATCTACTTATTTTCGACAATTATTTTTGACCTGATAATATAATTTTGTTTTTGACTTTATTAATTTGCATTGACTTCTTAATTAGCTATTAATTATTTCATTTCTCGAATTATCGTATCGTCTTCAATATTTTTTCTATGTTGTAAATTTTAAATAGATTTTTATATTGCACTAGCTTTGTTAGCATATGGATTATATGATATTATGATTATATTGTTCTAAGATTCGATAATAGTATAATAGTGCGATATGGCATTATATACAAATATTAATTAATTTACATTGAGCTATTCACTGAATAATGTCTCGAACTATTCATATAACAATTCAATGTTGAAATTGCCTTCGATTTTTTATTAACTCTGTAAATAATCATTTGTTTTTCATATATTCTGCTATTTTTGTTGTGAGTGACTTCCAAGATTGAGTTATGTATCTAATAGCACTGAAGTACTTTGGAGTTGCATTTTTTAATTAATCAGTATCTGTCATCTCGGAAGCACTAAATACTCGTCATTTTTTGCATGCATTGTTTGTTATTGTATTTAACAAAATATTTTAGTTCTCAAATTAGCAATATAAAACACGTGTTAAAATATTTTTATATTATTCCTTTTGCTACGAGAGTGTTTTCTGCAGAAGTCCCGCTGCTGTACGAAACAGCGTGCCCAGAACGATATATTGTATGATATAAGAAAGTTAAAAAATATTAACTGCGAACTAGAAATTACAATAGAAGACGAGAATTTTAATAGTTTAACTCGGTGATAAATCATGGACGACATTCGTACACACAGCAGGTTATGGGGGGATGTAGTCCATGGACGACATTTGTAGCAAAAGTGTTATTGACTAAGTCAACTTATTTATTATATTTATATTTTTATAATGAAACATCTATCATTTTATTCAGGTGTTTGTCCTGTATTATGTTCTTCTCATGGACAATACGGAGGTGGTATTTGCCATTGTGAAGAAGGTTGGAAAGGTGCTGAATGTGATGTGCCAAAACATGATTGTGAAGACCCGACTTGTTCTGGACATGGTCGTTGCAAACAAGGCGAATGCACCTGTGAACGAGGATGGAAAGGAGCACGTTGTGAATTAGGTGAATTGAAGTTTTAATTATCGTCATTTGATTATTGTAATTGTATTTTAAATAATATGTACAATTTTTCGCTACTTTTATGTAGAATCTTTTTTTCATTATACTTTTTATCGATAGTCAGAATATAAATTGATTGATATGAAAGACTAAGAGCTGGTTTTTCATGTCTTTCTTCAACGAGTACTTTTATTATATATAATCTATTATATTTTACAATTAGGGTAGGGTTGCAAGTCGTACTCTGAGGAAATAATGTGGTAATATTTAGTGCATTTGATTCAGTTGAATTGTGATTAGCACTTTCTATTTTTTTTTAATATGTATTTTTTTTGCGTTGTCACCGTAGTCGTGCCACCTATGGCCTTTTCCCGCAAAAATAAGATTTTTGTTAACTCTGTAAAAAGTTTGAAAATAAAACTAATGACAATTACCTATATAAAGTCTAATAATTATTCATGACTAAACTGTTGTCTACTAAGTAATATAAATAATAAAAATTTAAAGAAACAATTTTAGAATCGCATAATTATTAAGGGTGTAAACATTTGAATAGTTCTGTATAACGGTACCAGATGATGAACGATAATTTAATATATTGCCAGGGTACGACTTGGAAGCCTTACCGTTTTTCTTCACTAACTTATGTTTTGAAAATTTGTTTACTTGGCTTTTAAATAATACTTTAGAAATTAAGAATTTAAACAATTAATGGTCTGATTTAGCAGACTTAAAACTATAAACATTTATAACCGTATATACTATTATTGAGCACGGTAGATGCTAAAAATGTTTTCAGAGTTTTTTTTAGCCATAAATAAATAAGTAAAAACCAAATTGGAGTAAAAAATGATTCTTAGGATTTTTATTGAGATGCAAATTCGAATATTTGCTTTGGTTTTTCTCTAATATGTTTAATATTGCATTTGTAGAAGATTGTTTGGATCCAACTTGTTCAAATCATGGAACATGTGTCGCTGGTCAATGTTACTGCAAAGCTGGATGGCAAGGTCCAGATTGCGGAAATGTCGATGAACAAGTTTATCAGTGCTTGCCAGGTTGCTCCGAACATGGGGTTTATGATTTGGAAAGTGGTCAATGTGTTTGCGACAGACATTGGACTGGGGCAGATTGCTCTCAAGGTTAGTTGTTAGCCACTTTTGTAATTTTGTCTATAGCTAAAACTGTATAGATGATATAAATTCTTAGACGGATGCATTTTTTATCAGTATTAACTGATAATTAATATTAATTAATTATTAGCTTTTGTTATAAATGATGAGCCATTTGTCTCAATCAATTAAATATATCGTTATCACTTGGTTACATTAACAAAGCATTTTTAAATGTATTTTAAATTGTGAGTTTTGAATGTAATTTTTCATCTACTTGAATTCACTCGAAATGCATTAAATAAACTTGAGCATATGAGGCTCGAATTTTTAAATGTTATTTGTTTCACTTGTTTTATCTAGTTCAATATATTATGCAGTTTTGTCATTAGTTTTTCTAATTTCCTCACGCAATAATTTTTGTTGTAAAATAAAAGCACAACAACGCAACAATGCAAACTACATAAGAATTGCAAAAAATTATAAATAATGCCTTTATAGATAAATATATCGACTGCTTTTTTACCTTAATTTTAATTCTATACTTTCATTATAATATAATATAATATAATATATATTTCTTATATCTGTTACACATTAAATTTTGATAAAGAAATCTACTAATTGCAACTAAAATTCATTATTTGTTCTATTATGCATATATTTATTTTTACAATCACAAATTGGTCTAAATCTTTTATCTCAATTTTTTTATAAATGCTTTTAGCTTTTCAAATTCATTCCTGAAAGTTTTTTTTTTTTTAAAGTTTAGTAAATGGCTTGGTTATATTGCAGAAGTGTTCTATCTTGAGTCATTTTATCTAATTATATCTTGATTTATAAATTAAATATATAATATAGTAAATATGGTCTCAAGATAAGAAATGCTAACAAAGTACATGGTTCAAAATACATCCTAACTCAATCACAAATATGCTTTTACAAGAACTCTTAGAGTAAACAAACAAGTGCTTATACTTAATATACATATATTATAAAAATAGAATCAGAACTAAAAATATAATATACTATACTGATTTTTTTGTCAACTATTTGCGTCGAACAAGTGGGATTTTGTTCTATCTGATTTTTTATAGCTCTCATTGACATTTTTTTTTTGTTTCCATATTTGATATTAACTTTCTTATAATTTACCTTCTTAAATGGATTTTTTGATATAGCAAACACATTTGATGCTCTAACTGACATTACGATCATAATTATTGACATTACATTACAATTTAGTACTGCAGGGCAATATTTTTCTTCATTGTTAGACATATTGTTCTAAAATAAATCACGTATTTTAATATATAAGTTCTTTTACATACCTGATATGTAATCTAAATGAAACAACATTGCGAAAACCTCGATCTTTGCATATTACATATGTAATTTTTATTCAAATCTTATTATAAATGCACAGTAAATTTTCCACACATCGGTAATTATTAAAACTGCTTATTCGAAGGAGGCTTCTTTACTAAAAGGAAAAATATATTTGTCATTAAAACAAAAAGTCTCAGTATTTAAAAAAATATATTAGACTAATTTCAAAAAAGATATTTAATATTTTTTTGTCAATTGCCTTGCTCTTGATGCATTTCAATATGTTATATGTTTTTTAAGTTTTTTAGTTTAATTTAATTTTTAAAATTGTGATTTCAAAAATGGATGGATGGTTTGACTTTTTAAATTTATTTATTTCGATTTTTTTTGAATAAGTTTTCTTCGTGATTTTAAGTAACATGCTGCTAGTAAAGACTCGTTTCAATTACAACCTGTCTATTTGTCTATTATTTTCGACTAACGAATAAAAACAAATTATATTTATTTATAATGCACATGATTTTAAAAAAAATCTTTTTCTTTATCGCATTGTAAGCTTTTGTGTAATTTTGATTAATAAGAAAAAGCTACAAGTTTTTCATTCAGCAACACAATTAAATTTTTTATGTTTTTAGAAAATTTTACCGATGGTTAAAATGTATAGTATATTTATTTTACTACTCCAATTCTCTTAGTCCTTGGTCATATTGTATAATGCTTTGTTGATCTCCAATTAATCAAAATAAATTTTTGTACTTTGATGGATTATGATCAAAATTTAATAGTTAACAGTTGTTTTAGTTTAATAAAGAAATTGATAATTTTTACTTGATTTATTAACTTTTACTGGCTATTTAATATCATTTAGTTCATTTGACCGTATTTTTATGGTCTATTTATTTTACTTCAATTCCTTTAGACCAATTTTTCATATCAGTTTTTTAAATATAAAGCTCTGTTGTTTTGCATAATTTCAATATATAATTTCATCATATACAGTTACTTAACTGTGTCTTGAAAAAAGATTTTATTGTAAAAAATTGCTCATATTATCCCTATTAACTTATTTTAACTGTAAAAATTATTAAAAAAAAAATAAAATAAAAAGAATATGCATATTAAGAACCGTATTTTATAATGCTTTTTTTTAATTACGTCTCCAATCAATCAAAATAAAATTTAATTTTGACTTTAGTGGATTATAACTAAAAATTTTTAAAACATATTGTTTTAGTTTAATAATTATAGTTGTTAAAGTTATTTAGAAATTTTATTTTTTCCTGAATTTTCTAAAATGAGCAAAATATTTCTGAATGATTTGATAAATACTTATATATCCTATACTTAATTTGTTCAATAAACACATTGATAAATTTACTGACATAGTTTTCCATTTTCCACTCCCGTCGCGATCGTAAAAAATTGTAATAAAAAAAAAATATTGTATTTAAAATTTATTTAAATATGATGAGTTATAAATCTAGATGTCAATGTCTTCTTTTCGATGACTAAATAAAATAATTAAATTTATATATAAGTAACATTATTACATATATATTGATTTTTTTATCAGAGGAAGGGAAAATTTTAATTTGTTTTTTTCCAATTCTTAATAATAATATTTTTAATATACATACAATAGTATTATGAAAATGTATCAAAATTTGTAAAATTGCTAATGAAATTTTTGTGCTAATGAAATTTTTGTGTGTACAAACTTCTTTTTTTTTTTAAATATGTTTCTACAATTATCACCTTTTTCATCATAGCACCCGAAATTTTAATCATATTTACTTAGCATTTGTGGTTTTTTTATTATACATATATATTGATGTTCACCATTTCCTTAATATTTTGAAAGTAAGATTTTTGTTATAACAATTTGAAACGTTTGTGAAAATTAATATTAAATGGTTATTATTTGTATGTAATCGATATTTGTATAACATTCAGCAATTTTAATTATTTATCCAATGACTTTTGTTATCCTCATTTGCGAAAATTATTTATTTTATGCGGATCTGAATACGTTCATCATGTTCATCTTCTAATAATTCATTATTACTTTATTGTCACAAGTATTTTTTTAAAACATACTTTTTTAAAATATTTGTTTGTATTCTCTTTTTCTTCTTTGATCTCTTTTATTAGACTGCAAGGAATACGTATTAATTTTACTATTTTTTTTTTCAAGCACTAATTTACGTTCTGGTATCATGAAAAGTAAAAAAATCTTACTTTTGAGGAAAAGATAGCTATCATTTATTTACTATTGATTAGGAAAATTTTGAAACCTCAAATCAGACATCTTATTTAGTTGTAATTACTTCCCGTAGGGTAAGTATAGTAATCGCAAAAAAAATCGAAAATGAAAATTTTTATATATCTTTACGTTTTAGAGGTTTT